TCTCTGAAGTGCAGAGAGATACGTGTGGTTTCACATTCAGAGTGCTGGGACTACTGTCCTCTTCCCAGTATCCCCAGGTCAGTCTGCAGGGTGATGGTGGGGCAATACAGCTGGCAACAGCTGGGCTCGTGTTTGGCTGGAATTAGAACCTGCTTGGGCTCCGGTGAGTCTGCCTGTTCCCAAAGAGCTGCTGTTGCTCAAATCTGCATGATGAAACACAAACCAGGAGCTTGCCGGTGTATCCGTTGGTAACTGGGATGGTGGCAGTGGGATGCGATGTGAGGAGGGTGTCGAGTTGTGAACATGGCAGCTCTGTGAAAGCAATCCTGCAAGACTGCAGGATGGATGTGCTGTTGCTTACTAGTCCTGAGCAGCAGCTCTCCAAGACACCATCCTCTAGCTCCCTGTCCCAGAGGGTCAGGTCTACCTTCACCCCTAAGTAAGTGACAGTGGGTGTTATTCTGGATCTCTTGGGATGACTGCAGTGTTTAGTTCAAGGAGAACTAAAAATTGACTTTCGGAACTGGTTCTGGGAGCAGTCTGGATTTACTACTCAGTGCTGTAGTGAGAGTGCATAATGGTTATAGAACCCTTTGTTTGGGAGGTGGGTAAAATTTGGGTGTATTACACCTGGGTAAGGGAGAATGTTAGACGTCCATGTCCCCAGTACAAACATGATGTTTTTCTACTTCTCTTGAACTAGATTTGGGAGCAAAGGCAAGTTAACAACTCAGCTTGGGCATCAGGGCACCTTCTTTGTCTCCCCTGTGCTGAAGTGACATGGACCTGGCAGCTACTGTTGTCCCAGATCCCATCCTTTGAACACCAAGATGCATCAGTCCAGGAAATGCAAGTCTTCTCCATGGCCCTTGGCAGCTTACATAACAATATCTTTTTTAAAAGCACCAAAACCCTGTATGATCCTTGTATGACTGTATGACTGGTCCACTTCTTATAGGTAGAAAACTGGACACTATTGAAATGTGTGAGCAGTTATTTAAAAAACAACAACAATTAAAACAAACAAATGAAACAAAACCGACCAATCAACCAAACAAACCAAAACCAACCAACCAACAAAAAACCCCAACAACCAACTAACCAAAAAAGAACAAAAAACCCAAAACAAAACCACTTTGAGCAACTCTGGCTAGTTACTTTCTTCAACTAAATTCAGTACAACGTTAGATGAGAAAAATACATTGTACAATAAAATCCTATTAGAAGTATCCCAGTCTTAAAGAGAAAAGAAAAAGATCAGTTTTCAATAGCATCCAGTTTTTTACCCATACGAAGTGGAATAGTCATGCAAGGATCATAAGGGGTTTTTTTGTGTGTTTTTAAATAAGTCCATAGGTTGCTCTTCACAGAGCTGTGACATACCCCGATGGAACTTGGTCAGAATCCCAGCTTTCCAACGGCTCAAAGGTCTGGAATTGTGGGCTTGTGCTGTGGTGGTGCAGCTCTGATCCTCAGGATGGCAGTGTTGCACTCGCCTGAGGGACAGAGGCTGCTCAGGTGACTGAAGGAGGAACTGACCTTCTACAGGCATTATTTTCTGTTGCTGTGTTTAAAAGGGGAACATTTTGTAGAGGACTGTCTGTAGATGCAAACCCAAAGGATTCCTGTAAAGTCTACATGAATGATT